TGACATCAACACATTTGAATGACATCTTGTCTGCTTTTCAACATACTAGTTATTATTCTTTTAACATAAGGTAGAATAATACGGAACAGTTATAGCTGTTTGACATAACTTGTTTGATTTTTATTTTTAAATTCAGAATATTCAAAAATTCTTTTTTTTATAATTTTTTTAGCATATCTTGAATGAAATAGTTTTGTTTTTTAATTAGTAAAACAATTTTACAAAATCACATCATTTAGGAATTTTTAAAAGAATAATTAGATAAAAACATAAAAATATTTAACTTTATTTTTACCAAAAATATTTAATTTGCACAGGTTTTATTTTGCCTGTGTAAACTGATTTTATTATTTTTGAAATTTTCATAAAATTTTACTTCTTTTGAGGCCCACCATAATATACTTTTGAAGAACTTTTTTTTTTCAAAACATTAGGAACCCGTTTGATGTTTAAGGGTGTTGAGCAACCCCTAAAATATTTTTTTTATTCAAAAATTTTTATATATATATATATATATATATATATGTATATATATGTATATATATATATATATATATTTATATATATATATATTTATATATATATATATATATATATATACATATATATATTTATATATATATATATATATGTATATATATGTATATATATATATATATATATATTTATATATATATATATTTATATATATATATATATATATATATATTTATATATATATATATATATATATATATATATTTACCATATCATTTCTATATATTATTGCCGAACTTAATAGTTTTGATATTATTAGTTTTATTAGTAGTTTTAATAGTGTCCCTTGAAGCGTATTTGACATGAAACCCTTGGCAGCCATTGCAACCGAGATATTGGCTTGAAAGAGTCTCACCTTTTCTTTATAAAAAAATGTAATCAAATGTGAAACTCATGTCGTACGTAGGTAAACTTCATGTTATGTAATGTTAAAACATACTTAAACATATATCAAGTTTAACAGTTTGACTTTCTCTTAAAAACTGAATTGCATAAACCTCTTCTTGATTTTTGATCTACAGCATTTATTTCCATTAAAAACAATTTTTATATAGTTTTAAAATTTCAGCGACCAATGTGCTAGCATGGCCGAGTGGTTAGCGCGCTGAGTTTCTTATCAAGAAGGTCGTGGTTCAAATTCAACCACCAGTGACTTTTTTTTTTAATTTTAAAATTTTTTTAAATACTTGTGAAGTTTTATAAAGATTATATACAAACATATATAGCGATGTTATACACTTTAACAAACGAAAAGATTTTTAAAAAAGCTAAAAATTCTAAAAATATTTAAAAATGGGGGAATATTTGTTGCATATGCGTCATGGTTGAGATACTTATTTTATTTTAGTTTTATGTTTCAAGTTTTTTTACAACTAAGTTGAGTTTGTGCAAGAAAAGTAAGTATACAATATGTTTATATATAGAATATAAAATTTATAGAACTGTAAAGTTGTTTTGTTTTGCATTTTAAATAACAAAAATTAAAAAATAAAGCAAGCTGATGATTTGAACCTGCCACACAGCGATCTTAAATTTTTTAAAACAGTACGGGGGTTTAAAAAGTATGTTTTTTATAAAAACATAGTTAAAAGTTCTAATTTTATATTTAGATTAAACCATTTTATTAAACTATTTACTTTTAAAAATAATTAAATGTTAAAGTTATTTAATATTAATACAATAAGGAAATTTAGAGTAATACAGCTATTTTACCATGCCCCCATTAAACATTCAAAACCAAGTGCGCAACAACGACAGAATTTAGATAATCATCAAAATAGTATTATACTTCATTATTTTTTGGCTTTATATACTTTTTGGCTGATCCTTTATCTAATAATTTATAATAAGGGATCGTCCATAAATAACGCAACGCTAAATTTTACAATTAAAGAAAACAAAAATGATCAAAATTTTTCTTTGCAGTTGTATAAATAAAAAATCTATACAGCTCATTAAGTTTAATAAAAATCGCCATCCTATAGAACTGAAGATCTCTTCTACTTTTTTAAAAATAAATTTAGCTTTGTGTATTGGGCAATTCCTTAGCGTTTCATAGTCTATAGTTTATAATGCTCTAAGATCTTCTTAGTTCTGCTATTCTATTATAAAATAATATTGCTATTATAAAATAATAATGAACTTCAATACTGTTATAAAATTTTTGCTATAAATATTGCTATAAATGCAGCAAGAATAAAAAATTTTCAAAATTTATATGGGGGTGTCTTTAATCCCCTAAAATGATACTGGTGAAAGCACACTAAACCACTGAGCTATCAATGATATGCGTTTAGGAGAAAAACAAACCTAATTATAAATCTCTTATAAGCTCTAGGTATGCTGAAAGAGTGCGCATGTTAACTTTTTTGCTCTTTAAGCAATTTTTTTTAAATGAATTATTTTATGTAAAAATATTGAAGTAAACAAATAATAGCTATAGGCATGATCGGTGTCGAATAGATAAAAATAGAAATGGTAGATTTAGTAAAGACCCATATAATTTATGGGTCCGGAAAGCTAGGATATATATATAAAAAAAAAAAAAAGAAATTTTTATTGTGGAATAGACTTACAAAGACCCGTATTTTTATGGGTCAGATCAGCTAGTATATGTTATTGTGTTAGGATTTTAAAATAAAACATCTTTTTATGGATTTATTTCTATTTGTTAAAAATATATTTTTATTTTTACAATATTTTGAAGGAATATTGATACCCTTGTTATCAAGTATATTAAAAACCATTATAAAAAATAAAACTGCTATATTATACATAACTGTTTATATTTACGAAACAATGGACTTTGTAAGAACTCCTTTTTAAAAGTTTTTCAAGAGAGTTTTTTGTGACATAAAAATTTAAACATATGTTTCCATAATGACATTGTCACATATTCGTCATCATCCCTGTTAAGACCATTGTCGCAACAGTTACTTTCATTGCGTTGTATTTCCAACGCTTCCCTAATTTTCCTATTAGAACTGTTTATTTCTTATTATAAGGTATTGCAACTATTCCAGGGGAAATTTTCTTTGGCAAATTTTGGAATGTTTAGTTAGTTCTGAATTTTCGCCTTTACTTTGTTGTGCATTTGTTTGATGCTGGCATATCGAGACAATATCTGTAGTCCTTTTTCACAAAACATAACAATTGCCACAAGAGCACTCTAATTTCTAAACACCAGTATAGGTATTAACTGGTAGTGTTTGTTTATTTTTGGAACTAAGTAAACTTTAGAGATTTTTTTAAGGAGACTCTAACACTGGTGTGTATCCTGCTTTTTTAACAACTCTTCTTAACTTAGGACTGATTCTAGAAATCCAGGGTAAAGACACAAAGCTTTTTGGAAATGTTAAAAAATGTTGATTTTTTGTGAGATCTTTTTTGTTGTTAACATTTTTTTTCGTAGACTTGACTAGTTTTTCCAGACTTTTCCTCTCTTAACCGTTTCTACAAATACATCGATTAGAAACAACAACTTGTCATCAATGTAATTTTTTGTGCATTAACATCAAACTTTCTCTTTCTCATTCAAACTTTCTCTTTCTCATTGCTTTTTTTTATATGAAAATGATATTCATGAGCTCTATTTTTTATATGAGCTTGAGGACCAATTGGGTTAGTTCTTATGGTAGTAGTTGCTGAGTGTTTTTTACAATATCATGAAAGTAATGCTCTTTCATTGGTGCATAACAATAATATCCATGTGGAATCATTTAAAATATATGTTGATAATATACATTCATGGTTCCAGGTAGAAAAAGATGCACAAAGTTTTTAGATCTACTTAAAAACAACAGAAAAGTATTCAATACACAATGAAATCTTTTTGCGATGTATTCAATACACAATGAAATCTTTTTGCAATGTATTTAATACACAATGAAATCTTTTTGCGATGTACTCAATACACAATGAAATCTTTTTGCGATGTATTCAATACACAATAAAATCTTTTTGTGATGTATTCAATACACAATAAAATCTTTTTGTGATGTATTTTAAAACTTTTAAAAATACATCGCAAAAATGCAATCACAAATGTTCAAATTAAACCAAGTTTATGCTGTGACTCTAAAATTATCAGTTGTTCAAAGACCTAAAATTATCGGTGGTGTCTTTATTGTTTTTGTTCATAGACCTTTATGCACAATAAATGACATTGAAGATGAGTTGTCATTTCTAATCGATGTATTTGTAGAAAAAGCTATGAAAGGAAAACTAGTCTATGAAAGAAAGTGTTATTAACAAAAATGATCTTATGAAAAATCAACGTTTCCTAATGTCTCTAAAAAAGACTTGTGTATTTACCCTGGATTCCTTAAATCAGTACTAGGTTAAGAGTTTTTAAAAAAGCATGATATGCACCAGTGTTAAAGTGTCCAAAAAAGTCTACATAGTTCCAAAATTAAACCTTCACTACCAGTTAATTCCTATCTTGGTGTTAGCGTGCTCTTGTGGCAAATGTTATGTTGGTGAAACAGGACTAAAGATATCATCTCAGATATGTCAGCATCAAACAAGTGCCCAACAAAGTAAAGGGGGAAAATCAGCTGTAGCAAAACATGCCAAAACTTACCAAGGAAATTCCCACTGGAATGGTCGCAATACCTTAAAAATAAAAATAAATAGTTCTAATAGAAAACTTAGAGAAATGTCGGAAATAAAACACAATGAAAGTACCTTTGATGACAATGGTTTTAACCAGAATGATAGAGTTTATGTGACGAAGTCATTTCGGAAATCCATGTTCAAATTCTTATGTCACAAAAAACTCTCTCAAAAAACTCTTAAAAAGAATTTCTTACAAAAAACATTGTTTCGTAAATATAAACAATTTTGTATAATATAGTGGATTTATTTTTTATATTGGTTTCTAATATACTCTTTTACATGGGGTATAGATTATATTAAAAACCTGTATTTTGTTGTATTTATTAACTTTTTTATTTTGTGTACAGGAGCAATCTTGCCAAGTAACAGGATGGGAAATCTATGACTTATATAAAGGTTTAGCTACTCCTTTAAACGAAGGTGAACTTTTGCATTTGTATTTTTAGTAAAGTTTTCATTTAATGAAAATTTATTTGAGAAATAAATCGACAGACATGCTATTTAAAGAATCTGTATTTTTATTTGGATTTTGTATTCCTGAAGCTCAAGAAAAAATTTTAGGAGATTTTTTTATTTATAAAAAGTAATAAACATGAGTGGAATCTAAAGGGCTTTTTAATTTTTTAAATTTTTTAAAGGAAATAAACATAAATGGATTCCAAAAATCATGAGTCTCTGGTTACAGTGTATACATAATGACTCCTGGTTTATAATTTTTAGATTCCAGGACCTGTCATATTATGTACTCTATAGTCTCTCTAAAAAGTTACTTTTTTAAATATTTAATCTTTTTTAGATAATGATGATGATGATATCTTTGGAAGTACATTAAAAACACAGAATGCTACCGAACCTCAAACTAGCATTATTGATCCAGGAGTTTTAGCTACCCAAATATCAAAATCTGCATCAATCTTAAGTGGTAGTTAATGTTTTTGTTTAAAAATGTTTTTGTTTAAAAATTTAAATAAATAAAAATATGACTAGCGATTTTATCTTTACTTAAAAAGTAAATAGCAACACATAAAAGTTTTTGGTTGTTAAGGATCTTCATAAACTTTCACTTTCTACTTATGTATATTTACTAAGTATAATTTTTGTATATCTACTAAGTATAATTTGTTGCTTACAAGAATTAAATATTTTGTAAAGTATTTTATACAAACTAAACAGTCAACATAATAATAAATTAATTTTTAAAATCTTTGTAAATCTCATAATAAAAATCTTATCAAAATTTTTTTAGTTTTAAGAAAACTATTTTTATTTTTGTTTAAATTTAAGTTAATTTGACTTATGTCAAGCTAATTTGACTTTTTTTGGTCAACTTAACAAATATTTGTTTAAAAATATTTTTTTTTTATTTAAAATTTTGAGTAATAGTATTGCATACTTTGGTAATTTATGTTTTAAACCACTAAATTTGTCAATTTTAGCAAAAAATGAAAACTTCAATTATGAAAAAAACTAATGAATTAATAAAACAAAAATGCCCTCAAGTTGCTGTTTTATGTGAACAAGGATTAACACTAATTGATATTGCTGCATCTTTTAATATAGCGCATAGCTGCATCATGACAACATTAAAAAGATATCATGAAACTGATTGATTTTAAAAGCTAGGCTGAACTAAAAGTTTATTTAATTTTCTTTTAAAGAGTCATGTTTCAGCAAAAAAATTTGATTCAAAAACTTTTTGATCAATATTCAATCAAAAATCGTTAAAAAATCCAAAATCAGGTTTTTATTTTTTAGGAAAATTTTTTACTATTATGAACAGCCTTGCATCTATGAGGTGTAAACTCAATAAATGTTTGAAGCATTTCAATATGATTCAAAATGTACTGTTAAACCTCTTTTGAAAAATAGAATAACTTCATTTAATACAAAGTCAGCTTTAAATGAAGCTCTTAGATATCTAAAAGTTAAAGATGAGGATCATAAAACCCAAGTACTATTTCAGCATCTAAATGTAATGGGAGATCATTCTGTTGGCTTAACTGTATATTCACCTGATATAATAACCAGGTATTTTGAATATTTTGCAACAAGTCGTTCCACTTACAATCAATTGTGTTGTGATTATCAGTTGTCAAGTATTTGAACTTTAGCTCGTATAACTTCAAAAATAAATTCTCAAGACGATTTGGTTTTTTTAAGTTTTGTGCTATTAAACCTTGAGGAAAAAAAAAGAAATTGTGTTTTATTGATAGATGAAGTTTATGTCAAAGCTGCTTAATTATATCAAAGTAGAAATATTTTTGGAAAAGCTGTTAATATTCCAGAGAAATTAGCTACTACTGTACTTTCATTTATGATCAAAAGTCTTTATGGTGGTTCTGAATTTTTAGCAAGAGTTTTACCAGTTACTAATCTAACATCAGATTTCCAACTAGATCAATGCAAGTTAATTGTAGACACCATAGAAAGTTCTATATGTAATAGCAAAGTAGTTGCAATTATTACTGATGGTAATAAAGTTAACCAAAGCTTTTTTTCTAAATTCAAAACAGTAGATCGAAAACTGTGGTTATGTCAAAATGGAACTTATATTTTATATGACTATGTCCATCTTTTAAAGTGCATTAGAAATAATTGGCTGACAGAAAAGTTAGGTCAGTTGCAGTTTATTTATAATGAAATATCTTACATTGCAAATTGGAGAGATTTAGTTAACTTATATACACTTGAAAAAAACCAATTATTAAAGTTATCAAAGTTGACTGAAACATCAATAAATCCTAAACCAATAGAACGACAAAAAGTAAGTACTTGTTTGCAAGTATTCAGTGAAGAGACAGTTACAGCTCTAAAAACTCATCCTAAAATAGACCAAGAAAGTGTCAAGGGTACTATTATTTTTTTGGAGTTGATTATAGATTTTTGGAAAATTGTGAATGTTAAATGTCCTGGTGCTAATCTTAGATTCAGGGATGAGTCCCGTAATGTAATGAGATCTTCAGATGACGTTAACTTGAAAAAATTGCTTGCTATTGCAACAATGGCAGAAAATATGAAACTAACATCTGGTAAACGAGTTCGCCAGCTTACAAAAGTTACAAGCAATGCACTTTCACATAAATGTTGTGGCCTAATTGATTTATCTTGCTATCTTTTATCAACTGGAAATGAATATGTAATTTTAGGTCGGTTTTCTTCGGATCCGATTGAAAAATGCTTTGGAAAATTACGTCAAGGATTAGGTGGTACTTATTTTATAACCGCTAAATCAGTTAGTGAAAAAGTACGTATTCAGCATGCTAAGCTGGTGCTGCAGCTAAATATTGATGTAGAAGGAAATGATGGCCATGACTATCTTTTATGTCTTGTAGATTTAGATGATAGGGAAATTGATATCGTTTACAATTTAGCAGATCTAGAAGATAGCATAAATATAGAAATTTTATATTCTATTGTCTATATTGCTGGTTATGTTCAAAAGTGTTCCCCTGAAAAAATTGGAGATAATACAATTACATATTATGGAAAATTTGGAAATTATTTAAATAATTTAAATAGGGGAGGATAACTATTCCATCTGACACTTTAACTCAATGGTCCTTATTTTGCTATATATTTTTTTCTTTATTAGATAAAAGAGTTTGCAGAACATTTCTGATTCGACAGTTTACATTTATTGCAGAATTCTATGAATTTTCTATTTCAAAGAAACAATGACAAATACTGGCAAACATTTTTTTAAAGAACTTTGCATTACTTCACACTCCTAAAAATAATAAAGAAACTAAACTCAAAGAAATTAAGTTTATGTAAACGTTTTTTTTTTCCTATTTAGTACAAAATTTTTATTTTTATATTACTTATTATATCTTTTAAATTGAAAATCTCAATTGAAAATGTTATTATTTAACTTTACTTTTAAAAGTTATTAATTAACCTCAATAAATTATTTTTGCAATAAGAAATTAAGATTTTTTTCAAACAAGACTGTGAACTATTTGTATGTGTTAAATTTTAGCAAAGCTATATAACTTTTACGGTCCGCCATTTTTTTTTTATCGGCTTTCAGTCAAAAAATTTCCCGTTCGGTGTCGAGGCCTTCTAATAAAGAAGGCCTTGATATATATATATATATATATACATATATATATATATATATATATATATATATATATATATATATATATATATATATATATATATATATATATATATATATATATATATGTATATATATATATATATATATATATATATATATATATATATATATATATATATATATATATATATATATATATATATATATATATATGTATATATATATACAGTACTCGACAAAAACCTGAGACCAAGGGTTGAAAAAGACTAAAAATTGATTTTAACCATAAAACTTTATTCAATGAACAACCATATCAATTTTTTCCAATATAATTCATATTACTAGGAATAAGTAAAACATACTTTGTGAAATAAAACACAAAATGTCCATGTCATGTCAGTATTTTATGGGCATTCTTTTAGCCGCTAGCACAGCAGTAATTCTCCTCGGCATAGAATTGATCAAATTTTCACAATAAGCAGGAGTGATTTCATTGGACCAAACCAACATTATCTTTTTTTTCAAATCATCATATGATGATGGCTTTAAAGTGGCTACCTGTTTCTTTAACAGATGCCAGCAATTCTCTATTGGATTTAAGTCAGGCGAGGATCCCGGCCAAGGAGAAAGTACCTGAATATTTTTCTCAGCAAGCCATTTAGTAATCACCTTTGCCCGGTGACATGGTGCACCATCATGCTGAAAGATTGTACAACCAGAAAGAGGCATCCACTGAAGCAAATTGCTTTTCAAAATTTTCAGATATTCATTGGCATTAATAGTTGTTTTAGGAGGCATGAACCATATACCTGCTTGTCCTCTGGTTGAAATTGAAGCCCAGACCATGATTGATTGGCACTGTTTAACATTGCATTTGGTGTACTTGGGATTCAGTCGCTGATTAACTGGTCTATAAACAAAAGAATGAAGAGGAGCAAACTGCTTTATTTGACTTTCATCTGAAAACATTACTCGCGCCCAATCCAACGCTGTCCAGTCTTTGTGCTTTTGACAAAAGGCAATCCGATCCTTGATGTTCTTGGCAGAAAGCCTAGGTTTAATGCAAAGACGCCGGGCATGCAGGTTGAAATCAGACGATAGTCTTCGTCTGATAGTTCTGGAGGAAACAGTAACAGAGGATGGCAAGTTGTGTTGTATTACTGTGGAAGATGACATTGGAGAATTAGTACAAGTGCGATGAATCAAGAGGTCAGTCTGCATAGAGGTACATTTTGGTCTACCAGATCTTTTTCGGGAAGTTAAGCTGCCAGTCTGCTGCAATCAAGTTATTGTGTTATGAACTGCAGTTTTAGAAACAGACAAACGTTCAGCAATGCTTCTCTCGGTGTATCCCTCCTCTTTTAATATACTGATCTGTGCTTGAACTGATATTTGTAACTTACAAATTTCAGTGAAAGAAAATTAATGCTAAAATCAAAAATGAGAATTTGAAGCACAAACAGCAAATGCCAGATTCATTAAACAATAACTATATAAATAAGCAATACAGTATGTGTGTATGTAATGCATGTATATAACAACATAATACCACAACAGCGCTAATATGCGTCAATCCTAGGACACTTTCATGTTTATTATCTGCTAAAAACTTTACGTTTAATTACGTAATCTATAATTTGCCATCACGCAGTAACAAACTAACGCAAATATCAACGCAAAACCGAATAATATAGTGCATGGTTCATATAAAGTTCAAAGAAGTTATGCGTGCAACATACTACATATATGACAATTGTATTACTCATCAGTTTTCCTCACATCATCAGTGATGCTGACAATAAATTGTTGTGTTCTGAATTATGTTAAATTACTAATATGAATTATATTGGAAAAAATTGACATGGTTGATCATTGTGTCATTGAATAAAATTTTATGGTTAAAATCAGTTTTAGTCTTTTTCAACCCTTGGTCTCAGACTTTTGTCCAGTGCTGTATATATATATATATATATATATATATATATATATATATATATATATATATATATATATATATATATATATATATATATATATATATATATATATATATATATATATATATATATATATAAATGTATATAAATACATGTAATGCTATGTGACCCCAAACCAAACAGTAAATATATTTATGTATTTAAACAAACTTACCTAAAAGATACTAAATATGTATATTATGTATATATATATATATATATTTATTTATATTTTTATCTGAAAGAATAGTTGTGGACTATATATATATTATGAATGTTATGACAACCTCAAATGGTTTTTACAAAAGTAGTATGATTATTTTTTATAAAACTGAATTTATTATTATTTTTTTTTCAATAGCTTTATTTTTATTATAGAGAGCACTGCAACACTTGACTCATGTGTCGTATCACAAGTAGAAACCCAAGAGAGTTTTACATCAGAAAAAACTGCTATGACATCAAAACAAATAGATGATGAAATGATAACATTAATAAAGGTTATAAATTACTTACAATAATTATGTTACAGTTAGTCTTGATCAATAAAATATTTTTTTTTTGTTAATCAAGCAATTTAGTGGTCTCATGGTTCCTTGGTTATGTAAAAACAATCTAATCTTGTAGTTATAATTTGGTTTTGTTTTGTTACTTAATTTATGTTGAATAAAGTTATTCATTGCATTTAGATTTTTGGGTTACTTTTTGTTAATATTTAAATCATAGTTTAAAGTATTATGTTTATCTAACATTTATAAACATTCCCACACTACTTTAATACATGGCAATAATAGTTTAATTGATGATTTAATTGATAATTTGATATGTTACATAAATAAACTTGCATCTGAAGAAAGTAACTGTTTAGTTAAAAAATTACGAGGGAGTCAATATAAGAAAAGGTAATTTTATGTTAGCAACTTTATACTAATGTTACTGAGGTATGGCATCTAAAGTAGATCCAACCACATTTATAATTCCTTTTTGGACCTCAGTCTATAAAAGAAAAGGATATATATATATATATATATATATATATATATATATATATATATATATATATATATATATATATATATATATATATATATATATATATATATATATATATATATATATATATATATATATATATATATATATATATAATTTTCTATAAGTGCACACTTCAAGAATTAAAGTGCACAAAATATATTTGTAAATTATGTTCTTCAATACATATTATCAATTGTATATGCATATATATGTATGTATGTATGTATATATATATATATATATATATATATATATATATATATATATATATATATATATATATATATATATATATATATATATATATATATATATATATATATATATATATATATATATATATATATATATATATATATATATATATATGTATATATATATATATTACAGGAAGTCATAAATTTCTTATCTACTCTGATGCTCTGATGCTTCACACATTTGCGAAATATGTCGACACTATTATCAAAAAAGTTCTTTTGAATTGTTTACTTCTGCTTTTATATTAAGTATTTTTTTAAAGGGACATTTATTATAATTATTTTATAAACTCACTTATTTTTATATTTATATATATATTTATATATGTGTGTGTGTGTGTGTGTGTGTATAAGTTTATTAAGTTTAAGATATATAAGTCAATTAAGTTTAACATAAGTCAATTAAATTTAAGAATTTTTAATGAAGGTAGGATTAAACTATATAATATTTCTTTTTTGTTTATAAGTGGTAGAAGGATTTAGATTTGAATGAAATTGGAGATTGGTGTGAAACCCAGACTTTTTTAATGTGTCTTTATGAATTTGAGAAGTCTTTTAAAAAAAAAAATTCTTGAAAAATTGGAAGATAATCTATGTTTAATTCAGGTTGGTATTTGTTTTAAAATGCTTGATGGATGGTTAGAACTAGCATGGGTATAATTTAATGTACTATCAGGTTTACGGTAAGGTTGAAAACTGCAATTGTTAAGATTTAATGTAACATCATTGATATTTTTGAAGCAATTTACTACACTTTGTGTACTATTCCACTGATTTAATAACAAAATATTTCTTAAATCTGTCTTGTCTCATTCAGGATTTGTCATTTCGTAAGTGTATGAAAACCAGGTGATCTTGAGAAATAAGTTGATAGTTAAAATAGTTCCATTAAAGTTTTTTACTTTTTCTGCTTGTATGGTAGCTGTATATTTTATTTCTTTTATTTCTTTTAAAGCTTTTCTTGTCAAGTATTGTTATCAACTAATTGTGTTTTGATAATTTTAATTTGTTCAATATTTGAAATGACTGCACCAAGAAATGATGGAGTTGTTGTAATATTATATGACTTTTTTTAATTCTGTTTATGTCAGTGTTCTGTTTATGTCAGTGTCCATTTAATAAAGTTTTATTTTTTATAATAATTTGTGTGTGACTTGCTTTATATTATTATCATTCCGCAAAAAGTTTACTTTGTTTTTGTGCAAACATTTAGACTTTTTGTGAGAAGTGATATTTAAAATGTTGTCAACTAATTATTGAAATTTTGACATATACATTAAAATCTCACTACAAAACATAAGTGAAAATAAGAAGTAAGCATTAGACGAAGGTAAAATAGATTTAATGTTAAACAAATATTTTTGAATAAACACTTTTTTTTTCATGTTGAATTTAAACTGCAATAAAAAATTTAAAGTTTTAAATATTGTATTATCAAATTTTGTTTTTTTAAATATAAATATTAGGATTAAAAAATAAAAAGTAAAAAGTATTTTAAAAAAATTATTTTAAAGTTTATATTTAATATAAATTTAGAAAACACAAATTATATTGTCTTTCTGACAGGGCAAGTTTTGCTTGTTTAATGTAAATCAACTGTTTTAAAAAAACAAAAATGAGTGTTTAGTAATAACATAAAAATTGGAAAGGTTGTAACTAAAGTTTTAATCTTTTTTTTTTTTTGTTTTGGTTTAATTTTCAAATAACTAAAAATGTTTATTTAAAACAATACAAAGTGTTATTATAATAAGTATTATTTTTGTTGTCTAACAAAATAACACAGAATAAAAGACTAAATGAAATGTGTATATATGTACATTTTTTTTAGAATGGTCAAATTAAAGAAAGCTTGTTTTTCATGGAGAGAGTGATTCTTCAAAATCTATTTCAAGACAAGCAAGCAGCTTTTAGAGGACTGCGAGATTTTAAATGTTAGAAATTTAAATATTTAATTTTTTTTTTTTATCTAAAAAGTAAGGGTAGACAAAGCAGGGAAGATTTGAAAATGGGTATGAAGTGATGTTTCTGTTGTTGTGATTATAGATAAAAAAAAAAAAAATTTGATCGCAATGATTACTAAACAATAAAATTTTATATATTACAAATAAAATAATACAAAATAAATTCAAAATAATATTTAAGAATATTAAAAAAAGAAAAATTGTATTTAAAAATATAAAAAACCTAAAAAAAAAATTAAATGCTGTGGAAGTAAAGCAATTAAGTTGATCAATCAAGTCAATCAACAAGTTGGTCAATCAAGTCCAATCAATCAAGTCAATTAAACCAATCAATGTAAAATATATACTCAATTATATAAACATTTTATTTAACAGTTTTAAGATATTTTTTACATAGCATGCAGAAAATAAATTCAATTTTTACAATTTTAAAAACATTTTGTTGCAGCTCTTGTTTTTACATGACATGGTTTAATGTGGTTCTATTTTTTTTTAATTTAATAATTACCTCTTCTGGCTTTACATAACATTAGTTGTGCTTTTTCTTTAGCCTCTTCTTTTTCAGCAGGATTTTGAATGACTTTTACAGTTTACAATTGTTTTTAGGATTTTTAACTTGTTGATTGATGTTTTTTTTTTTCTTTTATCAAGTGGAAATAACCTATCTGGGTTTATTTTCACTTGACAAAAAACAAGAGCAAGTATCAAAATAAAAAAACGTGAGTTTTAAAATACAAAATGTTGTGATCAAGACAAAACAACAACCTTGCGCTCTTTGATGCAACACTGTTGTTTTGATGCAACACTGTTGTTTAAAAAAATAGGCTTGGTTAAAATAATAACCTTTTATAATGGGTTAAAATAATAACTTTTTATAATGGGTTAAAATAACAACCTTTTATAAGGGGTTATATTTTATATTGAACTATAATAAAAATAGTTTTGAACTTTATTTATTTATATTTGAAAATTATTGGTATTTTACTGATCATTGCTTTTAATTGTTCATTAAATTTTGATTTTGTTTAATAAACATCTGATTTAAATTTTCTTAAGTACGTTAAACATTTGTATTTATGGTTACTTATGTGTAACCATAAATACAAATGTAGATTTATGGTTACTTATGTGTCCTGTTTTGTTTTTATTACATTTCTTTTACATGCGCGGTGTCTAAATTATTATTATTATTTTTTACTACACGCTTTACTACAGTATTTTTGTTTTTGTTCTGAACATCTGTTCAATATATGTTTTTAATTATTTTATCCTTTCTCTTTTCCTAAATTTTTCCTTATTTCACTTGGGCTTAACAGCTCGGTCTAGTTCTTTGTTGCATATTTTTGCATTTTTTTTGAATTTTTCTTTAGTTAATTTTTAAGAGATGCTCAAACTATATTTCTTTAAAATGATCAAATGTAAAAGTTAATTTTTAACCGAGATCAAAAATTTAATTTTTAGAAATCTGGATATATTATTACAAAAATAATTTTTCTTTTTTTGAACATCAAAACAACAGTGTTGCATCAAAACAACAGTGTTGCATCAAAGCAACAGTGTTTTAAAAAATGCAAAAATAAATATCAAAAGACTAGACCAAGCTTTCAAGCCCAAGTGAAATAAGGGAAAATTTAGGGAAAGAGAAATGTAATAAAAATAAAACAGTACACATAAGTAACCATATATCTACAAAAAATACAAATGTTTAACATACTTAAAATAAAAATACATTAGATACATCAGTATTTAAAATGAATAAATATAAATTCATAGGAGGTATAAGATAAATAAAAAACATTATTGCTTTTGTGTAATCATACTTTATGTAGTGGTGGTAATAAATTCCTCTGAATCGCATTTATTATTACCGGCGTTTTGAAGAGGCTCAGCACAACAGGCTCTGACTGTTTACCTATTAATTTCCCTGGAGCATGTTGTTAGCCAATAGAATTGCAAATATTTTTTATTCGTTTGACGTCGCTAAGTCACTTTGTTGTTGTTAGCGCTGCTATGTCTTCAATGTAGATCTTATTTTTCTTGATATGAGTTTTGTTTTCAGTTTCACATCTATCAGCTACGGTAATAAGCTACCCACAAAATTTTTTTATTAACTTACCGAATATAATAAGATACTTATAAATATTTTACTTTTTATATCCTTATGTGTAGTTACACTAAAAAAAATTTTTTACACCTAATATTACTGTTAATCGTTATTAGATTTATGATATATTCTTTTTGTGCATGTTTGTCTCTATATCAATTAAAAATTAACTTTTACATTTGATCTTGGTTAAAAATTAGCATGCACATTTTTAGATTTAAAGTGTAATTGATTTTTAACACTTTTTTGTCGGCTTAAATTTGAATTTGAAGGATTTCTTTTGTTGGGAAAATAAATACTAGCAAAATATAATTTTTTGCTTTGCTTGCTTAAAATAATTATCTTATATTGTTGTAAAGCAATTAAATGGCATAAATTATTGTTAACTATACATATTTCTAACTTAAATTAGCCACTGCAGCAATTTTTTAAAATGTCAGCCACCACTGGTTCTTGAGCAAACTGCATAAAAATTATAGAATATTTTTAAAATACTGTTTCGTTATTCTTAAATATTTGTTTAAGATTACACTTTGTCACAGTTAGCATTTTCTTTTAAATATCACTTAATCAAGTAAAGATATAGGAGATGAAACTTTTTTGCTTGAAAAATAATTTAAGAATGCTTTCTAGAGTTTAAAGCTAGTAATTGTTGTTTAAATATAGTATGAAAGCTTATTATGTACAGTTTGTTGTAATGTACTTAATATAGTGGATTTGTTATTTTCTATTCTTATTTCAATATTTTTTATGATGGAATTTTTTTATGAAGTTACAAATCTTAGCTAAAGGCAAACAGTTTTTACAAGTTTTTATACTACTAAAGTGTACATCCTTTTGTGAAAACATATTTTTGCTGTAAAGTTTACAACACATCCTTTTGTGAAAACATATTTTTGCTGTAAAGTTTACAACACATCCTTTTGTGAAAACATATTTTTGCTGTAAAGTTTACAACACATCCTTTTGTGAAAACATATTTTTGCTGTAAAGTTTACAACACATCCTTTGTACAACAAGAAATTTACAGTTATCCTTAAAGTTTATAAATATTTATAAATTAGTTGTATGTGAAAGTTATGATGATTAATAAATGATAAAATTTCACAAGAAAAAATACTGCAAGTGTTGTACTCTTATAAACAACAAGACAACCTATGCACCATATAGTTCAGTATATGGTTTTTAGTTTTGCTTAAGTGTTTGAATAACATACCATCAAATTTGCATTACTATAATGTTTTTTGACACTACATTTTTACGGTCTTTTTTTTTCTATAATGTTTAAGCTTCATGTATGTTTTTTTTAAGTTAATTTTTGATGTAGGCGTGGTGTTGAGTTGTGAATGCTGCAAATATTGTATCTGGTGCTAATTTACAGGGTAAAAATTAAAGTAATAAATATACAAAATAAATGATAAAAATTATTTTTTATGTAAGGTGTTAATTTATTTAACACTTCACATATAAAATAATTTTTAACATTAATATGCCATACAAAATATAACAAAACATAATGAAATTATAACAAAAAGTTGACTTTCTCATATAATTTTTTATTCATTGTTTATATTAGCTTGCTTTATATATAACAATGAACAAATTTATTTTGTTTTAAAGTGACTCCACCTTATTAATTTTTAAAGTGACTCCATCTGTTCACAATGAATGTTTACAAGAAACTCAATCATCAAATACAGTGCCAAATCTAATGGTCTTATGGTCATACAAATGCTCAATAACCAAAGGAATGTCTGTAAACTGCATGGTCTGGAACAAGCGAAATAAAGTATTTTTTTTTTAACATTAGCTCCTATTTTTCAAGGAGTACTGATTATTTGTTTAATTTTGTTTATTCAACAGTTTTTATTTTTTTTTTTTCTGCCAAAAATTGCTGACCTCATTTCTATGTTTTAAGGTAATTATTGTGTATCAATTGTTTTTTTGCCAATCTTATGCCGACCTTAACAGCTTGAAGTCAGCATTTTTTTGCATACCTCATTTTTCCTAATTATACTATATATATATATATATATATATATATATATATATATATATATATATATATATATATATATATATATATATATATACATATATATATATATATATATATATATATATATATATATATATATATATATATATATATATATATATATATATATATATATATATATATATATATATATGTATATATATATATATATATATATATATATATATATATATATATATATATATTGATACAGCGTTTTAACGAAATTGGGAATTTGTCAAAGTATCTCTCAATCACCCCCCTCCTTCCCTGAGATTAAAATATTTTCTGGGTAAGCATGGGGTCCTTTTTTGGTGTTCTATTTTTTTCTACTCTACATCAGCGCTGCATACATTGATTGATCAGCGCCAAAAATAAAATAAAATACCATCTGTATCATTAAAGGTGAATATGAAATCAACACAAAATTAGCTGTTGTTTCACAACACGGCAAACTAAGAACTGATTTCCGAACATATATTAGGAATGATATCTTTTTTTTATTATTAACTAATTAGTGTATATTAATTATTCTTGAGAATAATTAATTTGATTTATTTTTAATCTTTATATATTGTCACTGCTTTCATTTCAAAAGTATTATTTTAAATATATATTTCTTTTTCAATGTAATATAGTAAAATATCTCCAATGAGCCAATGATCTTCTACTTCTAATTATTATTTAAATTCTGCTCGATATACCTTGCGAACAAACCCTTATATCATTATGTAATAAATTGTGTCATCAAAAGAAATTTTTTGAAAATAGATAGGTTTTAAAAATAGTAAACACGAGCTCATAAATTTCATATTTCACATTTTTTTATTCATAAATCACAAAGCGAAATAAAGTTATAATCACAAAGTCTCAGCAATTACAACAACAAATGTCGTTTAATTATAGAGTAATATTATTAGCAAGAGATTGCACGCGTGGCATCATAGAATACAGTAAAAAAGTAAAAATAACTTTAGCAAATTCAGTTGATATAAAATACCAAACAATAAAAAGAAAAGCAATAACTAAAAGACTTTCCGTTATACCCGTAATTGATCAAAAGGTATCTGACATAACCTTCTCGATGTTTTTTGTTGACAAAATATATGACGTAAGTTTGAGTTTACAGCAAGACTTAAGAAGTTATTTAATTTTTTAGCCAAAAAGGGCAAAACTTTTAAAAAAATAGGATTTGCGGGTGTTAAAGCAAACAAGTTTGTTATTTTTTTGGATCTTTTAGATTAGTTCTTTATTTCTTGCTAACTTTTTTGTATAATATTTGCTGTTGTTGGAATGTATTGCAAAAAACTATTTTCAAACTTTATTGCAAGTTGCCACAAAAATCCCAAAAATCGCTCCAAAAATCCCAATTCTCATGATGTTCTTTTCCAAGAAACCAATTTTCGCAGTTATGCAGTTGCATTTTTATACCAATAATGGCAATTTGATTTTTAATGTTTTACACAATTAATGAATTAGAATTTTTTTATGTTGTTTTTTATTAGTTTTGAATAATAATTAATTTTATATTATTTTTAGAATTACTATTAAACTTTAATTTGGAAACTTTTTTTGGAGAATGGGAATTTTTCATCTTTAAATTGGGAATTTTAATTTTATGAGCATTTGGTAAAATCGCATTTGACGGGTTGCCACAGGGCTAGTTTACACCCCGATATATATATATATATTTATATATATATATACATATATATATATATATATATATATAATATATATATATATATATATATATATATATATATATATATATAAGATAAAAAGAGAGTTTATTATAAAACCCTTATATATATATATATATATATATATATATATATATATATATATATATATATATATATATATATATATATATATATAAGATAAAAAGAGAGTTTATTATAAAACCCTTAAAAATCAAAGCCCTTCTATAATTCTTTTCTCGATGTCTTAGTTGCACAATTAAACTTGTAAATAATCTTTTTTTTCTCCACAAAACTAGAATACCATTTATTTCACATCTTTTGGAGACAGACTAAACAATCTCTGTGACATGGTCAAAAGAACTTCTACAAGCTCTCAGTTTTTCTTGAAAAACTAAGAATGTGATTGGGTGTCCTGCATGTGATTTCTTAATGCACATTTTATTTAGCCTTGTATGCATGGCTAAAGACAAACACTTTAAATGTAGTATTTGCTCAGTTTTTTATTGCTCAGCAAAAGAATATTTTGAGCAATCATCAAAAAAAATAGTTTTAATGATTCATTTGACCAAATGCCAAACTTTTATATGTTTTGATTAACTCATAATATGATCCTGTATTTAAACATACATAGATATTTTATTTTATTTAAAATTGCATAGCATATAAATGAATTTTTTCTTCATAATGTATATGAAGTATTATTCTCTTAGGTAAGTGGGAGAAAACCTATACCTTATGAAGGTATAGGTTTTCCATACCATCTCAAAGTATACATAAATATATCTGAACAAACGTTTTTTTGAGACGTTGCAGTGTTAGCAGTATTGGTTTCATATAATAATCTGTAAGGGTTTCTACCTGTGGTTTGAGATTGAAGTTATTATTTTAAAATTATTGCATGTTTTGGGTTAGATAGGATTTTTTTAAGTAATTTTATATTTGTTTTATCAATAAGCTCTTCGATATTGTGTCAGATATTGAATTGGTGTGAGTTTATGGCATCAATCTCAATAACATTGAGTGATAGTTTGTGGAATAGTTGCAGCTCTTTTTTTGCTTCAATACTGCAAAAAGTATAGTAGCGCAGTACAGAATGTGAGATCTATATAGAGTGCGTAGGATCTATAAATTTGAAGTAGGTTTAGTAAGTAGGGTACTGAATTAATAGTATTATGAACTTTTATCCATTGATCATCCCAGATTTTGGTTTATTAGGATTCCTAGGTACTTGTAGCAATCAACTGATTTGAGTTTAGAGTTTAAAAGAAATGGCAAAAAAATTGCAACTTGATTAGGGTAACGACTCTCTATCGATGTTTTGCACTTTAAATGATTGAGTTTTATGACATTCACAGTAGCCCAGTTCGCTACGCCATCCACAATAGATTGAGGTTGGCTTTTTGCATCTTTATTATATATGATGTAAGTTATCATATATCATAGTCAATTCAACAATTAAGCTACATTTTAATGTCATCTAAAAATTACAAACAGTTTAATTCAATGCTTGACATTCCTATTACTCCAGTTTCTGCAACTAAAGTTATTTCCTGCTTGACTCTTCAGCAACTTGTGGTCCGAACAACATACCTGTTATAGTCTTGCAGAAGTGTTCTCTGGAGTTGTTGCCTATACTTTCAAAACTATTTAACAAGTGTTTATCTTGTTATCTTGTTATCTTGAGTGTTTATCTTGTTATCAGAGTCTTGTTTTCGAGCCAGCTGAAAAGTGGCATCTTTTATCCTTATTTTGAAAAATTCTGAAGAGCGATCTGATTTTTTAACTACAGTTCCATTAGTCTTCTTAGTATCGTATGCAAGGTTTTTGAGTCTTTAATTAACAAACACTTAGTCTATCATTTTAAATCTAATAACTTACTTTCTGATCATCAATGTTGGTTTCGATCTTCTCGTTCTACTGCTGGTTTGTTAATGGTAATAACCAATAGGTTTTATTATGCATAAGTTAGATGTGGAGAGGTTAGGGTTATTGCTATTGACATTTCTAAAGTCTTTGATAAAGTTTAGCATGCTTGTTTTCTCTACAAGCTCTCTTCTTATGGTGTATTAAGTAACATCTTTAAGATTATTGAATCCTTCTTTACCAATCTTAATGAAAAAGTTGTCTTCTATGAAGCACTCATTTTCATTTCCTTAACTTAAGGGGTTTTTCAAGGTTTTATCTTTGTCCCTATACTTTTTTTAATTTACATAAATGTTTGTCAGCAACAGCAGCGAGAACTTGGTCAATTTTTCGATTTATTCATGATTGAGTAGTTGCTTGACAAATGAATGCATAAAAAAAAATTAGTTTTTATGTATACCAACAGTGGTTAATGGATACGAATGACAAAAATGACTAAATTTTAGAGGAAGGAGCAGTTTTAAGCGATTTTAAGTGTGGAGTTATAAATGAGCAAATGTAATACAATAATAAATTAAATTAAGTTTTGTGATATAGAAATTCGTTTATAAATCATGACAATAGTTTGAAATATTTACTAATAAAATTAATTACAGAAAATCAAACGAAAAATTATTTCTTTTGATTTAAAAAATATTTTTTATATTTGAAAATATTTAAATAATTTCACATTCATCTGATAAATCCTCTTTATCATCAGTTTTTAGCAAATGAATATTTTAAGGGGCAGACACATAAAAATCTATTCAAAATATACCTTTAATACTAAAATTAATAAAAGTCATTTTTATGCTTCCAAAAGTTAAGGATTTTCTCAATGTCGCATGATAAAAAAAGTTTATATATATATATATATATATATATATATATATATATATATATATATATATATATATATATATATATATATATATCTGTGTGTGTGTGTATATATATAAAGGCATTAAATTTTTTGGTCCTATTTGGCTATTTCAGTATGACATCAGTAGTGTTTAATGCAAGCAACATGCACAAAATTTTTTTTTTTTTTTAGTAAAGAAAAAGCAAATTTATAAAAGTAAAAAAATAGAATAAATATTTTTTTAGGATTTGTTAGCTGTTGGGTATGGTTCCAAGGATTTTCAGAAAGGAAATATTTGTGTATGGTCTGTTAAAAATTTAGAGGTATCTAATAAATAACTTAATATATGGTTTAAGTTTAACATTTTTCTATTTAATCATATTTTATATGTATAAATTTGTGTATTCAAATGTATTATGTAACTGGAATTCAATTAGCCTTCTGAGCTATTTTCAGAAACAAAACTTTGATGAGTTGTAATATGTCTGAAAAATAGTTTAGTTTTAGAAAATACTAAAATATAATAATAAAGATAATAAAAGTTGCTAGATACTAATAATTTAAAATTAACTTTAGAAATTAAAAAAAGATTATAGATAATATTAAACGAGTTTGTAAAATTTTAAAAATGGAGGAATGGGTGCAGAATACTTTATACTTGAAATAAATAATAAAATAAATTAAAATTAAAAAAATCAATTTTTTATTAGTTTTATTTAGTTTTAATTATTTTTTATTCTTTATTAAAGGTTTAAAAAAATTTTAGATTAATTATTAGATAATGCAAAAATATAAAGGTGCTACTTTAGTTTAACAAATATTATTAAAATTAGGGGAAAGCCAAATAATTCTGTTTACCATCATCAAGCTCCTTCTTCATCTGTTAGATTAACTAAAATGTAAACTTGTGTTACATTGTTTTAAGCTTAAAATGATGAATGCTGGATTTTCTTGACTCTACTCATAGATTTTTGCTTGTGCCTCCTTGATAGGGCCTATGCAACTCTTCCTGCTATCTCCTATCACCTGAGGGTACAGCATTAAAACTCAGTTTAATGGTCCTGAGGCCAGCTGGTAATGAGGTTTCCCAAACTCTGTGGTAGTTCTCAGAAAGGCTGATTTCATCAACAGCTGTTAAGTGTCAGAGTGTTATCAGTGTTATGTTGCGCATTGATTGTGTTCCTGTTAATGCTTTTGGTGTGCATTATTGAGGCATAACTGTTTCAACCATGCATTGATCTTAATAAATATTTTATCTGGTTGTTGTTGTTTTTTTTTTGTACTGCTCCTATCAGTGCACTACTAATCTAAAGCTTACTATTACTCTAAATTGGGATTCTTTTCGTGATTTTTTTTCTGAAGGTCCTAGTATTTCTCCCTTTGCTTATAAATGTGCCTCCTACATGATTTCCTGGATCCTGACGGGAGTGGAATCTTTTATTAATTCTTGTCAGTTTTAAGTCAAGTTCCATTTTATTTCATGATTTTAATCTTTTTCTGCAGCTGCTATATCTTGTTAAAATCATTGTTTTCATCTTTCTCAAACGAATAGCTCTCTTGAGAAAAAACACCTATTCGTTATTGCAATAAATCAATATAACAAAGGTTCTGTTTGATGCTAAGCTCCATTATTTCCACTTTACTTAATCTCTTTTCTTATCTAAAGTAATGTTCCAGAGACTTTAGAAAATTCTCCTCAGCGTCATTATTAAAGGTCTAACATATCTAGTTCATAGGGTTGATCTATTTTAAGGTTGAACTATTTGCAATGACCTTTTCTTCTAATTAATCTCTTGAATCTTGTGGTTATGCTCTTTCTTTCCTTTCGGTTAAACTGGGTAACCAATTGTTAGACATTTAAATCATTCCATCTTCCTTTACTAAAGTCAAAGTATCTCAATGAAACTCTTCTACTTATTATTTAACTTTATGCTCCTGTTTCGACAAAAAGTCTTCCCTTTTTAATCACTTAAAACAGGCAGCCAATCTTGAATCCGATCACACTTCTGTAACAGATTAGGGTTTACAATAGCTTGTGAAAAAAAACTCTAAAGTTAGCATTAACACAATATTAGTTTACAGTAATTAACAAAAGTTAATTACTGCAAATAACCACTGCAATACTATCAACATTCCTATGTTAATGAATGTCAACTCAATGAATCGTCTTCTTAACGTCTTCTTAGATTACTAGTTATTACTAGTTACTTCAGAGATTACTGAGTTCACTACTGACCTCTTGTGGAAATTATATTTACATTCAATTGCAAAATTAGTATCTGCTTAGTTATTTATCTTTATGGAGCCATTATCCTTCTTCTGATTCCATTCTTTACTTCCACAAATCTCTTCTTTGTTCTTGTATGGAATACTGTTATCATATTTGTTGTTTCAGTGATGCTCTTTTAGACAAGGTCTAAAAGAGACAAGAAAGACAAGGCATTGTAAACGTACAATTTGGCTTATCATTCAGGAAAGTCTTACTCTTTTACTGTATGTTCCTGCATGCTCTAAAAACTTTTTTATCATGTTTTTTCCCTGCACATCAATTCTTAAAAACTTTCTGCCATCTTTATGTTTTTATGGCTCAACATACAACCTACAATTTTTAAAGTTTTTTCAATAATTTCCTTGCTCTTTAACTCTATTGTTAGTTTTCTAGTAAATCCTGATAAAATAGTGGTTACTTGCAGCTTTGTTGGGAGTAAACAAGAATAAAAAAAATAATTTTCCTGGAATAATGCCATCTGTTGACTTGATGCACTAAATGATATTTTGTACAGTTATCTTGAGCATTTTCAGAGGTGCAACATTCATTCATTCAGATCTTCCATTGAAAATTGTATTTGTGCACATTTATTTTTATTTAACAGTTAGTGTTGTAGTCATACTATAAGATTTTTATGATGTCGCTAGAACCCAAATTTTGCATTAAAAATAACTTATTCCATAATAATTATGAACAATCTTTTTGGTCATAACTTTGTATCTTTTATTTGTGATATTTTGTGTAATCTTTTGCCAAGTTTACTAGAAAATTTTGAACTTTATGAGACTAACTTATATTTCTCACTTGAATTTTTTTTTTTTACATTAAATGAATTTTAACATTTTATAAATATATGTATTTTTATATGTAATCAGGTTATGTGCTTATGTTATTTATTATTCATTGGTATTTTGTTTTTTTAAAACGTTTCGCATTTTTCAAATCTTTTGTTTTAAACTTTTTAATTCATTTTTAAATTTCAGTTTCCAGAACGTGTGTATAATTTAAACAGTGCAGTGACGTCAATTGATTTCTCAACTTTAAGTCCAAACTTTCTTGCTGTATGTATTTACTTTTTTTTAGTTTTTTTTTTCTTAGTTTTTTTTAAAAGATGCTTATAATATGTAAGTTATACTTTTTTTAGGTTGGTTTGTATAATGGAGCAATTGCTGTCTATAATATTAGAAGTGATAAAGATAAAGTTGTTGTAGATAGCAGGTAGTTAAAATCTCTTAATCTGTAAAACACATAAAAGTTTGAAGAAGGCATCTTTAGTGAAGGAAATTCAATAACTGAAGAAGGCATTTTCTGCCACTTATTTTTGATTATTCAACCATAAAATTAAAAATTACTAATTTAATTATAATTTACAAAATTAAGTTAGGTATCACTCTTATAGATAAAAACTAGGCAATGAAGTGACACCTCAATATAATAAACATTAAAAAAATATTAAGGCAAGGAAATAATAAAGAACTACAATAAAACAAAGTAAAAAAAGTCATAGGAACAATATTTAAAAAATCAATATTTAAAAAATCATTAACAAAAGCAAAAAAAGAAAGAGAATGAGCGGGTGAGATAAAATAAGTAAGAACAAACGTGAAAACAAATGAGAAAACCCAAGCTAAATGACATACTTTCAGAAGGATAGAATGAGAGAAAGTAATTTCTGCAGACAAATATAAATAAGCAAAATTAATGCAAACTTACATAAAAAATATACATACATTACTACATACAATATTAAACTTAAGTTTAATAAACATGTAGTTTTATATTTGTTCATTTGTATTGATTTTTGTTTCTTATTTAGTTTGACTCATAATATTTTTAAGTTTAATAATTTATAAAATTTTAAAAAAATATTAATAAAATTAAATCTTCTTGTTTTTAATTCAAATGAAGCATGAGTATTATAAATAACATGTTTGACACCTACTCCTTTGTTGTAAAAATTGAGGTTTTGTTTCCTTATGTCTTTTGGAACCAAGAAACTGTTTCTTTTTTTTTTGTTGGTCTTATACACTTAGCTGGAAAGTATCCTATCTATCTATCTTCTTTCCCAGTGATTTTTTATATTCCAATATTGACATACTTTTGTATTGTTAATTTATTTGTTAATGATGAAGACATTCTTACATCTCATTTGAATCAAGAATAAAAAAGAGCCAGTGCCATTTTTTTTTGATTTTCTGTTTCAGTCAATCTAATTGTAATAACTTCTTTTGAAGACCTTAGCTATTGAGGATGGTTAACTGAGAGCCACGATAGTTGTTTAATAAATGAACATATTTGTATTCCTTCCATTTGTACAAAACAAAAACCTTTGGGGTTGATCTGGTTGGTCAGTTCCATTAGCAACAATGTTTTGCAGCTTTGAGTGTTCAATGTTTTGCAGCTTTAAGTGTTTAAACAATTTGACAGAAAAAAAATAGCTATCTATCATTATGACATCACCTCTAATTGTCTTAGTAAGTTTGTTCACAACACTCCCCTCTCAAACCAAATTTCTTTGGAGTATTAGTAGCATTATTACATTTTTGTAATTTATGTAAAAATATACATATATGTAAAAATATATTAAAAAAATGAAAGACTATAGAAAAAAAAAAGCCTAAAATTTAAATGAAGTACAAATTAATATAACTAAGCTTTTGAATGACTGAAAAAAGTCACTATTTATACATCACAAACTTGTTTTTTTTTAAAACCATTGTGTCTTGTCGGTACATATAAATCCTGTCTATATTTTGGTCTATATCTTGCAAAGTAATATAAAATCTATTTGAAAAGCATATTAGATATCTCACCTTTTATAACTTACTTTTGACCCTACTATATAAATTAAGCCTTAGTTTGAGAGTTTTTACATTTATATACATTTTATACATTTAAATTATTTGTATGTAGCAATGGTTGCACAGTCATGTCCACTTATCAAAAGATAAAGAAAATAGTTTGCAATTTTTTTGTTGTTAAAAAAATGTTTTTTTTCTTTTGCTGTAATCTAAAATCATTTTATGCACAGTGTTGTCTGTTTAGGTTAAAATTTTGAATTTTGTAGCTATAGTACCTATACATATATTATTGAAATTGCATATAATGTTTAACAAAATCCCATTAACAAATTTTAATTATGCCTGTCTACTAATGAAAAAATTTTTCTTCTCACTTCAGTATTGAAAGATAATTGTTTAGCATTTTGAGTTTTTTTTTATATTCTTTAATTCTTACATGGCATATAACTCTTTTTGTTATATTCAATGTAAGAATTCATTGCAATTTAAAAAAGTTTAAATAACTCACAATTGTAATTTAGTTTTTATAAAAAATAACTCACAGTTGTAATTTAGTTAAAAGATCAAGAATAATACTTATTATGTTTTAATACTATATTTGAAGATAAATTATTCCATATATATATTCCGAAGTTTAAAGCTATAATTATTCTTTAAGAAATATTTTATTATCTTAATCCTAAAATTATTAGTCATGACATTGTAAAATATCTAAAAGCAATTAAAGAATTAATAAGAAGAGAGTAGTAAAAAATAGATTTTTTAAGTTTTCATTCAGTTATAAAAATTTTCTTAGATTGATGACGCTGATAGGCTAAAGAAAAAATTTAAAACTTTTAACTTTGAGAAAAATGATTTAGCCATTTGTGGTATTTAGATTCTATAATAAAATCATACTTAGTTTTAGTTCTAAAATGTCCATAGAAAAAAATGCAAGGCATTCACATTGCTTGCCACTAAACTTTGTGACACCTTTTTTAAAACTTAGAAACAGCATATTAAAAATATATACAAACCATAAATACATAACCATATAAAATATATACAAACCATAAATACATAACCATATAAAATATATACAAACCATAAATACATAACCATATAAAATATATACAAACCATAAATACATAACCATATAAAATATATACAAACCATAAATACATAACCATATAAAATATATACAAACCATAAATACATAACCATATAAAATATATACAAACCATAAATACATACCATATTAACGTTATTATTGAAAACTATAACTAAAAACATTCAGAAATACAAAATAATTTGTGTAATTTTCATTAAATAACAATATTGGATATTGTTTACTTCCATACGACTAATATACAACTAACTATTGTTTACTTCCATATGACTAAAATACGACTAACTAACTTATAATAAAATATATTAATTATGAGTTAAAATACACTTGTATTGGATTTAGTAAGATTTCCCAACTGCAAATTCAATGGCAATTAAAAGATGCGATAAGAAATAAAAGCAACTTAAGGATAGGTGCAATCTTCATCAGTGTTGATATTCTGTTGATTAGCATTTTACTAAAAGAAGCAATACTCGGACAGCTTGTTAAAAGTTAAAATTTCTTTGTTTTCTATTCCAAACAATATGCATAGTTTAGAAAAAGGTCTATTATATAGTAAACAGAAAAATGGTGTTAAACATTCATCCATCAAACTTTTTCTAGTCATTCACAATCAAAGGAACTTAATAACTTATTATATTTGAAATTGCTACAATTAGTTTGCTCTTTGACTTTCTGATACTATTTGCTTTCTTCTATTTGAAACAAGTTTTAAGAATGTAATCACAATTTGTAATATTAAAAAAAAACTGAAAGAATTTTGAATTTGATAGCATTAAAGCAAATAAAAAACCTGACAAGAATTTCTATAATGAACAATCAAATCTTAACTGAAGAAATAAAAATTTAAAAATAGTCAAACTTTTTTTGAAAAATTTTATCCCGGAATAAAGTGCTTGGTTCCATGGGAATTAAGTGTACTTAACTATAGAAGTAATTTTAAAAAAAATAAATCAGTATATTTTTGTTTTCAAATTGTAAATTAAATTTTTTAAAGTTTTGGGCTTTTAAGGTTGAGAATGATGCAATCATAAAAAATTTTAAAATGCCAAAACATAAAAAAAATTTAAAACATAAAAAATGTATAATACTATGGAGAAAATAGAAATACCATACTCATCATTGTTATTCGTTTTATTTTATTTAAAAAAAAGTGAAATAAATTTTAAATCTAATTTAGTTTTAGTTATCTTCTACCACAATTAGTTTTAATTATGTCCACAATTAGATTCAATTATTTTCTACCACAATTAGAAATTTAGATATTGAAATGTTTAATTAGTTACAAATAGAAAAAAAAATTAAAAGTATTAAAATTGTGGAGAAAATAGAATTGACCTTGCGTATGTTATAAACAAGAAATTACTGAAAACATTTAGTTTTTACACTCGTTTAATATTTAGTTTCCTAAATTTTTAATGACATTAAATATGTGTTTTAACATACTAGCCACAAGATTTTGGATGGTTTCTGAAAATAAATCATTCCAGGCTTCTCTGATACTGATAAGTTTTCGCTCCAATATGGATTCAAGTTGTTTAACATTTTAATAAATCTTTCTAGAAAGAATTTCCCATAGATTTTCAATCAGATTTAGATTTGGGCAATCAAGGCCACTCAATTACCTGAATACGTATTTCTATTATCTAAACTTTTGTAAGCTTTGAATTATGTATAGCAGCAATGTTTTGTTGAAAAGTCAAATCTTCACCCATCAATTCTTCATCATATTCAATCAAACTAATTTTTAGTAAGTCAATGTAGTCCTGCTCTCCAAACCAAATTTATTTTGTAGTCCTGCTCTCCAAACCAAAACAGTTTCAACAACAAATTTACAACTCATATGAGTTTCTTTAGATCTTTAGATTAAATTTTTTTTTTCATCAATAAAGAGAAATTGACGCCACTCTTCCTGCTAAAACATGTTCTTTTGCAAGTTGTAATCTATCTTCTTTAAGATTAGCAGTAAGTTTTGGTTTTGCTTTTTGCTTTTTCCAAATTATGTTTGGATCTTCATGTAAGATTTATTGCACTTGTTAAATAGTTTCAAGTAATTGCAAATCAGCACAAATTTGAAATGCGGTCATGTGCTGAGCAGCTCAACAACGTACAATAGCTTGTTTAGTAAGTTATCAATTTTACATTAGCCACCACTTTCTTTATTAGCTTCATACTTAACACCGATCTTGAAGTAATTGTTGAAGATCTTTCAATTTTCTTTGCACTTTCTGATTAGATAAGTTTGTATCTTTATATGCTTTGACTACAGTTATTTCTTCATTTGTTAAATATTCACTATCCTCTCCCCCCCCCCCCTCCTCATTTAAAACTCAGGTACTCAAATTCAGGTATCAAAAACCAAATATTAAAATCTTTATAAGCACTGATTCCATAGTCTTCAAGAACACTGATTTCATAGTCTCTATGAACACTGATTTCATAGTCTTTATGAACATTGATAATATAGTCTTTATGAACACTGATTTCGTAGTCTTCAAAAACACTGATTTCATAATCTTTATGAGAACTAATTTCACAGTCTTTATTTACACCGAATTTACATTCTTAAATTATAAATAAGCAAAAAAAGACAGTCACCTGATCAAAATATACAAATGACAATAATTATTATTGATACTTATACTATTTGTTATTGCAAATATCAAATATTATACATTATATTTTTTTATCGATTGCACTGCAGTTCAATTATGCTATATATTTATCAATATATGTATTGATACAACTATGTACCATGCAAATTTCCTTGCAGATTTACAAAATATTGGATTAGTACAAGATGAGGCTTTTTCTATTTTCTCCACTGTATACAAATAATGTACATTAATGTTAAATAATTCGTGGAATGGTAAAAATTAAAAAACTTAACAGGTCTGAATACTTGTTGCTTTATATGTTTTGTGCTAGTTTGGCAATAACAATTAGATAATTAATGCATATAATCAAAAAATAATTGAATTTAATATAAAATATTATAATAATGTAGTAAGATAAAGTAATAAAACTTAAACAAATTTTTAATAAAAAACAAAATACTCAGTAAATAAGTTTAATTTTTTATCCCAAAATAATTAGAATGAAAATGAACACCAATCAAGCCACTTTTATCAATGTAGTACCCTAACTTTTGAAACAATTTATACTGTTATACATCGTTGAAATGCATTTTGAGTTTTATAAAAGAAAACATGTGTTGTCATGGCTTAGATATATTATAGTTATTATATAAATATATTATTGTATTGTTATATATTATAAATACATATAATATATAACAATATTTTTTTAAATAAGAAATTTTTTAGGGATAGTGCTGGAAAGCATGGAGCACCTGTTTGGCAACTAAAGTGGATTTTAAAAGATAGAGGAACTACTGAAGATAAAGGAGAAGTCATAGTATCATCATCTGCAGATGGACGAGTCTCTCAATGGTCAATTCGTAAAGGATTAGAGTATATAGGTTAGTTGTTTGGAAATTTAAAAATTTAAACAAAATTGAGAATAAATTTGTTACTTTCTTTTTTTAAAAAAAATTGTTGTATATCTAGAGTAAGGACGGGAGGAGGTGTCTAACTTGAGCAAAACAATATGTTACATAGAGAGCTGGATTTTTGAATATTTTTCAGTTTAAACTATTAAGAAACTTTATGAGAAATTTTATTTATTTTTTATTGAAACAAAGTAAACTTGAGCGAACTTCAAACCAAGAAGTTTAAAGTACATATGTAAAGTATTTTAAGTACCATATCTACAGTATGTAAAGTACCATATCCACATTATTTTAAAGTACCATATCCACATTATTTAAAGTACCATATCTACAGTATTTCAAATACCATATCTGCAGTATTTATAGTACCCTATCTACAGTATTTAAAGTACCTAATCTACAGTATTTAAAATACCATATCCACAGTATGTAAAGTACTATATCTACAGTTATTAAAAAACCTTATTTATAGGTCTTATAGTACCATATGCATAATATTTAAAATGCCATTTCTGCAGTATTTAAAATACCATATCTACAGTATGTAAAGTACCATATCCACAGTATTTAAAGTACCATATTTACAGTATTTAAAATATCTACAGAAAAGTAGCAGAGTTGCTTTATGTTTTTAGTTTTTTGTTTTTACTTTTTTGTGATTTGTGTTATATTATCTTAAGTGTAACTTAATTCATTATTTGAATATTTAATGTGTTAATGATTATTTTTAGTATAGTTTATAGCATAAAATGGATTTTAGATTTAATGAGATTAAAAAGAACCAATACAATAGAACAAAGTTTAAAGAAAAAAAATGAAAAAAAAAGTGATGCTTTGATATCGCGACTTGCTGCTGGAATGTGTTTTGATTTTCATCCCTCTGAAGGAAACACGTAAGGTTCTATATTTTACTAGTGTTTAGACAGTTTGTCTTTAACTTAACTCTTTAACTGTCTAAACATATACTATTATATAATGTACTATATATACTGTTATATACCTTATACTATAGATAGCATAAATATATATGCTTTTTAAAATTTTTAATGTGCAAAAATATTTAGTGACCTCTGTAATTACCATGTGCGTATATATATATATATATATATATATATATATATATATATATATATATATATATATATATATATATATATATATATATATATATATATATATATATATATATATATATATATTGGAATTAGGAAAATTGAGGTCGGCAATAACATAAACAACCCTCAAAATTAGGTAAATTGAGGTCAATAATTTGCCAACCTCAATCTTTTAGAGGTCGACAAATACAAAGGTCTTACCATAAAACACCAAAACAAGGTTTTTTGACGATTGCAAACATGTTTAGGTAGGCAGTTAGGTCAACATTGCCGAATGCTGACCCTTTATCCAAGGGTTTTATATGTATATGTATATATATATATATATATATATATATATATATATATATATATATATATATATATATATATATATATATATTTATATATATATATATATATATATATATATATATATATATATATATATATATATATATATATATATATATATATATATATATATATATATATATATATATATATACATATATATATATATATATATATATATATATATATATATATATATATATATATATATATATATATATATATATATATATATATGTATATATATATATATATGTATATATATATATATATATATATATATATATATATATATATATATATATATATATATATATATATATATTATTACTGTTCATTTTAACCTATATACAAAATATATAACCTTTTGACAATTAAAAGGCATAATTTGTTAACAAAAAGAAAAAATCTTTTCAACAAAACTTATTTAAAAACAATGTAATACTAGTTCTTATTTATATAAACAAATCAAAATTTTTAAATTAAAAATAATTTAACGAAACAACTGATATTATATACAATTACTGTATATAAACAAAATAACCAAAGAAAAATAAAATGAAAAATATATATTAACATAAACATTTAACTATATCTACATCATCAATAAACATCTGGTAGATTAACAAAATACAAAAATACTAATTATAGTCTAGCGTATTATTTTTCCACCACTCTCTCTTTCTTTATATTTCTACAGGAGCCACTCTATTATAAAAAAGAGGAGAGGTCTTTAACCCAAATTTGGACCCACACATTATGTGCCTTATAGAATGTATTCTGTAGTATAATGAAAATTATTCTGTAGTATAAAGATAAATCTATCACCTTTAGATTATAAAAGTAAAAATGTAAACATAAAAAAATGTAAATAAAAATAAAAGAATATAGTAAAATGTTTATTTTTATTAATAAATTGAGTCTTCCTATTTTAATAAATTTTACTTCAATAATTGTTTTTAACAGGTTAGGAAATATCCATAAAGAACATACACAGTGAAAAATCTTAAACCCTTTTACATTGTAAGTACTTAGTAGATGCCATTGTAAGTACTTAGTAGATGACTTTGTATATACTTAGAAAATGACATTGTAAGTACTTAGTGTAAGTACATTGAAAGTAATAAACTGCAAATTGAAATATTCACAAAATCTTAACTGACAATGAAATATTATTTTAACTGAATAAACAGGGAGAAGCATAATCACCATCGCACCAGGACTTTTGAAGTATTTTAATATTTCCAGAATGAAATTGTGATGGTGTTTAGTATAGAAGCAAAATGTTTTTCTTTTTAACAAAATTTGTTAAAAAACATTTACTATTATTATAAAATTTTAATTTACAAACAAAATTTAACAAAAAAGATTAATTAATTAAAGCTTGTTTGTTTCAAAAAAACATTTAACTACAACTTCTATTTGAAAATAAAGTGGAATATTTTTTTCTGCTTAAAAATATTCCACTTGTTTCATTATCTTTATCATTTTTAATGTACAATTTTATTGATATAGGAGAAACACTACAACAGGATATTGTTAATGTTTTAAAAGTAAAAAAACTTATAGCCCATTTTGATGGGAAACTTGTTAGACAGCTAGAAGGAAATGGTTCAGACAGCCTCTTTATTTATACCTCTAACATATTGTTCTTGGTTTTTAAAAGCTCTCTAAGTATTAAAGCACCAGCTGATGATTTAGCAGGATTTAAAAACATGTTTGATTGAAGTAAAGAATATCCTGAGTTTTCTCAATCAATACTGAAAAGCATGCAAAATCATACCTGGTATTTAAGTCAGTAGCTTGTTGTAATGGCTTTAGTGAATGATGATGTTGAAAAAGACAAGAAGAAGAATATACTCCAAAAACTCTTACAGTTTCCAGTTCCTGAAGATTTCATGTAAGTTAAACCTAAAATGCCTGTTCTCACACCATCTACAACACTATCAAATTTAGTTAGTTATTAAAGCTGGATTTTGTTTTGCCTGCCCAGGTTACCCATGACCAGGTTGAGTTATCTGCGCAAGGGGACTTTACTGTTTTAGACAACTTTAAATTTTTTGTAAAAAAAATGGAAGTCACCAATGATTGTGCAGAAAGAAATATAAAACTAATCCAAGACTTTATTATGTCATACCAAAATAAAGATATGAAGCAGAATATCTTGTTGGTTGCAAAAACCACAGAAAAGCGTTGACTACATATCTGACTAAAGCCCAGCTAAATCAGATTTGAAGTGCTTATGATATTTGTTCAACATTTCTTACCACGGTTCTTCAACATATGCAACATATATTTCACATAAATTTTATTAAATAAATGTTTAACATCATTTTTTTTCTAATATTTACAATTTTTATCGTAAAAATAGGGAAAAATCAAAACATTTTGAAAATTTGAAGTTTTACGCCAAGCACTTGTAACTGTATAAATGTAAAATAATATTTTTTTTTTGGAAAAAAAATAATTTTTTGGGACACCTTATTGTTGAAGGTCTCCTAGACAAAGGCTTTTAGTCTAAGCAAAAAATTTCTGTTTACCAGTTTTCTTGATTTAACAAGGTAGCATAGATGTAAACCTGTGTTTGATCGTATCCTACTTGGATGATGAACCCCAAATCTTATTGATTCTATTCATGATTTATTACTTAGAACACCTTAGTAGTATCTGCACAGCTGGTAGCAGCTGTACAACTTTTTTTTCTTTAAATAAAGATACAAAACTCCAAAACTTGGTTTGATCTAAAGTTGGCTGATAATAAGGTTTATTGATCTGCATAGCATCTCTCAAACAGGCTGATTTCATCAAGAGTTGCAAAATTTCATTGTATTAGCAGTGTCATGCTGCTTATAAAGGATGTCTCTGTTATTTTTGGTGTCCTTTTTCAAGGCTACAAACCCAAAATCATAACAAGGTTTTTTGTTTATGATGCCAAGCACTGTCTAGAATTTAGTAAAATTTTTGTTCTTTGAACATTTTATCTTTTACTATTAGTGTTCTTTAAATATTTTTATCTTTTATTTATAACTACTTGTGTTCTTTGAACATTTTAATGATTAAATTTTATTTTTTGTGAAAATCATCATATTTTTTCTTTGTGTGACTATTTTAAATTCGGTTATATTATTTGGATATTTTAAACACCTTCCCAATTATTTATCGGTAAGCACTTAATAACTAGTTAAACACTATTTAACACACTCTAAAAACAGAGCATAATATAATAATGATCAATAATATAATAAATTAGTATTAAGCATCATTAATAAGTTAGAAAAAAACTTTAAAAAATTTTTTACTAGAAATTACATCTGCTGAATCAAAACTGCAATGTTATTCGTATTTGAATGATTTATATTTTAGATATTTAGTTGGAACAGAAGAAGGCCTTATTCATCGTTGCTCGTGTTCTTACAATGAGCAGTTTCTTGAAACATACAAAGATCATAAGGTTTTATTATTATTTATTAGTTTTATTTTATAAGCAAGTAATCTCTCTCCTCCGTTCTCTGTCCACTCATATTTTATATATATATATATATATATATATATATATATATATATATATATATATATATATATATATATATATATATATATATATATATATATATATATATATATATATATATATATATATATATATATATATATATATATATATATATATATATATGTATATATATATATATATATATATATATATATATATATATATGTAAATACAGTGTCTTCTTTCTTTATCACACAATATGATTGCAAAATAATATGCTGTATAACTTTTTCTATATATTTTATTATGTGAATAAAATTTATATTTAAGTAATACTGAGAACATAATTTTTTATAAAGCTTTTATAATGAAATTATTTAAAATAAAATTCTAGCTTTCAGTTGTTATATCTCCTTTAATTGAAAACTTTTTATTAGGGTACTCTATACAGCTTACTATGGTCTCCATTTGATGAGGATGTGTTTATGAGTTGTAGCTCAGACTGGACTATTCGTTTATGGACTTTGGAAAAAACAGAATCTATTCTTACACTGCAGTCGTCGTCAGTAAGTTTATTTAAGTTGTATGAATTTTAATGGTTTCTTATCAGGTACCATTTTAGCTATAGGTAAATATTTTAGGCTTTTTTTTTTAGTACATTCAAATGTATAATAATGGGTAATAAGTAAAGTTATTTATAGAAAACTCATTTATTATTCTTTTTTTTTTTTTAATCACCTCTGAATCATAAAGACTCAAGTGACTTTTTTAGCCTAAGGCTGAAAAAGTCACCTTTTTTTTTTCGGTTAGAAAAAACACAAACTTTAAAAAACAAGAAGCTGTGAAGAAAAATAAGTTACACAGGGACATAAATTTTGTGGTGAACTCCTTTTGGCTTCCCATCTCTAGTCGATTGCCAAAAATGAGGTGACCTCGTTCAAAAATTTACCTGAAAAAATACAATGACAATTTAACTTGTTTTAATTTTTTTTAACAACCGCATTGCCAATGCATAAAAAAAGCCAGATAATGTATTCTACACTTTATCTTTCAACAACTTTAAAGCTAACCTTGATTAAAGCTAACTTTCCTTAACGAAAGTTGCTTCACAAAAGCTATCGATAATTTGACAATCTACATTTGCATTGTGTTTTTACTTTTGTTGATACAAATATATAATACTACTACAACTGCTACTATTACTATTATCATTTAATATATTTATTAGAAAGCTGTTATTGAGATTGACTGGTCACCGACGTCACATTCTTTACTATGTGCAATAACTGAGCATCAAATAGAGATATGGAATCTCTGCAGTAGCACGTAAAAGTTGTTTTGTAACTATTTTATTTTAACCAAGTTTACATTTATAGTCAAAAATGAACTTGTATATTATAAATTGCAATTTAGATTAGATCCTATTTTATCAGTAAAGCCTGAAATAAGAGGTAAACTTACCTCTGTCAAGTTTGCATTGAACTCAGAGGTATTGTTGTAACTGGAATATTATTAATTACTATTATGTTTTTTAATAAACAGCTTTCAAGGTTGTATCTGTGATTATATTTAAAAAGTTGTATTTAAAATTATATCTGTGAATATGTTTAACAAGTTTTAGAAGTTGTGTCTAAATATTTTTAAGAAGTAGCTTTCAAAGTTGTGTCTGTGATTATTTTTAAGGCATTATTAGTAGGCGACTCAGAAGGTAGAGTGACTGTTTATCTCATGCGAAATATTCCTGCATCTCCGACGGTAAGAAATTTTTATTATATTTAAATTTGATAATTGATCATTTGAAAAAGCAGCAAATGGTTAGAATGCTGACCTTAAAATTCAGCTAGCTCTTTATTCATTAATAATAGTAAAGTTTCTGAAAAAGCGCCCACTTTTGTTATAAAAAAGTAACATTGAGAAATTCGGTGTAAAAAGGTAAAATAAATGAGGATGGTAGTGTAAAAAAGGTTTATTTAGATAGTAATGTAAAAAAGTAACAAAGTCAGTGATAGTATTTTTTACTCAAAACTGTTTCGTCTTTTCGGATCTTTTTAAAAAAGAAATTCTGTTTCCTTAAATCTTGTTTTCTAAAATCTTAAATGTTGTTTTCTTAAATCTTATTTACTTTAATCCTGGTTTATTATCTTATTTTCATCATTCATTCTTTATTAAATCCAGTTTTCTACCAGTATAGAGAAGTAAAGAGGTTTTTTATTTCCTGTAGTAATTAGCATTTGTAGTCTTTTTGTATAAATACGTTCAAACTTAAATGATCGCATGACTCTGATTTATATTCTGAAGAATGGAAATTTGATTGTTTTGTTTTTTTCATAGTGTTATCTTTTAATAATTATATAATTATAATTAATTAAAAAGTTTTACTTAATTTTTTATAGATCATTTTACAAAAAATTATGCTGTCATAACTAATTACCTGATATTAAATCACATTTTTATGTATTACTTTAGAATATTCGTTTAAAGAATCTTTTAAATAACATTCAGAAAAACGCTGAAGAAGAAGAAGGAGTAGTTGTTGAGACCAAAGAGTTGAATGATAAAAATACTGATAGTTAGTTTTTACCCATATTCGAAAGTATAGTTTTTAATTGTGTTATAATTATTTGAATTGTATTAGTTATATCATTAAAAGTTTATATATATTGTTTATAAGATGTTGTATAGATGATATTCAAAGTATTTTTGTATATTTGCTAATTTGTGACGTCATTATATGTGAACTTAAACCACTTATTTTGTTGTATTTATTTTAAATACAAACAATCAGAATATTCTATTAACCTAATAGAAAAAATGCTTATTTTATATGTTTACAAAGGAGTTAAATAGCATTGCAAAATGTCATGAATGAATCAAAAGATCTAATGTTTTTACTGCTTTTTTTTCAAATTTAATAAGGGGTCATCCATAAAGGACGTCACCATCCTTTAGCCAATTTTTTACCCCCTCTCCCCCCTCCTTTGTCACCAGTTGTCTTTTTTCCCTATATCCCCCTGGAAAAGGACGTCACAAAATCCTGACCCTCTTCCCTATTTTTAACTCCAAAAAAAGCAACAACTTAGTGATTATACAATATTATTAAAAGTAGAAATAAATTCTTATTGCATCTTTTAATAATATTTACCTCAGTTTATTAGTATCTTGGATAATTGCAATCAACATTGGCACTGATAGCCTTAAAATTGTAAGAATTTATCGTTTAAAAAAAAACAAAAATTATAAAAAGCCTAGCCCGAACTTCAAAGCAAAGATGAAAGCATTTTTTTGTAAATGTCTTTATAAACTTTAATTTAACGCCAACTAACGACATTTTTTCAAACAATTAATAGATAAACGTAATCAATCTAATAACGACTTAGATAATAGAAACATAAAGTATTATAGATATGAGATTCGGAATAACAACATCATCAAACTTCCAACAAGCAAAAATTTATAATTATCCTGGCTCAAACAATTTATTAAATTTATTTAAGGTTATCTGTTAAATAAGTTTTTAAAGTTTTGAAAATAAATATCCCTCAATTAAAAACAAAATCCCGTATAAACAAAAAAATATCCCTCAAATAAAAACAAAGTCCTGTATAAACAAAAAAATATTCCTCAATTAAAAACCGAGTACAAACAAAAAAATAAATTTAAAAAAGACTTAATCTGACTTAAATTGTTTTTATACTAATGCCACTTCCTTAAATAATTAAATAGATTAATTACGTTACACCATCAAGGCATATTTTCCAGATTTAATCTGAATTGCTGAAACTTTGTTTAACGAACTTTCTGATACACTTATAGAAAATTACATATTAGTAAAATCAGACCCAAAACTGCTGCATAATTATATCAACAGTAAACGAAAAGTTAAAAATTGTTTAACATCAATTGAAGATTTAAATTCGTGCATCATTACAAACCAAAAGCAGATTGCTAATACTTTGATACTTTGAATGGATATTTTTAATCAGTAATTATAGGAAATAACGATGATGTTTTACTAAAATTTGAATAAAAGTGTTTAAATTCACTTCAATTTATTAGTATTACCTCAACTGTAGTCGTTAATATGATAAATGTTACAAACCTAAGAAAATTGGTTTGACCGGATAAATAAGTTCGCTAATTAGTGTTTATGGTAATTAGTGAAACCGAGGTATGTTTAAAAATTGTCTGGGAATTTTTTGTGGAAAATGCAACTACAATATATCTTTAACTATTTAATGTTATAAAATACATCAACAGGTAAGAATGGTATCATTTTAAAGAAGAAATGTTGTACAGTAAATATGTAAAATATGTTTTTAGAAACTATTTGGTAAATTTAAATCGATTTTGTATTTCATTGATTTTCTGTGATTCTGTCACGAAATAATTACAAAACTTTATTTTATTATTGTTTCTGGCAAACATCAAAGTAAACAATTACATATTATCTTAATATTAAATATTTGGAATAAACTGTATGCATATTGGATATATTGTTTATGTGAATGAATGTTTAATATGCGTGACGGAATCACACTTATCGTGAATGAAGCACGTAATATCGTGACGTAATCACACACTTTTAACTTTAGTTTTACATGCTTAACTTGTAATAAGTTTCCTAATGTTTTACCTTTATATTATTTACCAATAAATATTTCTACTATATTAGGATTGTTCTTTACAACTATGCTTCATCAACTTTCTGTTGTAGATATAATTTATTAATTATCAATTAAAACATTATCCCACCAAAGAGTGCTGCCGAACGACAGCAAATGTACCGTGCAAAAGTTAAAGAAAATTCTGCTATGCTCGAAGCCCCTCGAGCAAAGGGTTGTTTACGAAAGAAAAGATGGCGCTCAGAAATGGACGACAAAGAGGCAGCTGATTTTAAAAAGCGAGCAAAGCTGGCCACTCGTAAATGGCGTGTTAATAAATCTCGTTTCTTGGCTACACCTCTTACTACAATCGAAAACGAACTTCCTTACAAGTCGTTATTGTCTTATGGAAAAGCAAGAAGGAGAGTCGAAAACGCTCAAAAAAAAGCAGCTGTAGTTCGAAAATTGGCCAGTGATATTTTGAATATTGAAGTAAAGGGTCCTTCATCAGTGACAACAGCAGATTACTCATGTGTTACTAACTTTTATGATAATGATAGTATATCACGAGTCATGCCCAGAAAGGCAGACGCCGTTACAGTTTATTCAAAAAGCGTCAAAATTAAAATGCAAAAACGCCATCTTGTAATAGCAGTTGCTAAAGAATACCAGACTTTTATATCTGAATTTCCAAATTACATTATCGGAAAATTCAAGTTTGCGTCAAAAGAACGTACTTTTAACCAGTGATTTGCCACAAAACGTATGCGGATGCAAATACCATAGCAACATTATTTTGTTACTGGACTGTTTACATCGTCAATATCCACAAATATTTCCGACGTATTCCCCTGAATTTGTGTCAAATTGTGTATGTAATTCACAGCAAGAAGCTTGCATGTTTAACAAGTGCGGTATGGGCAAAAATTTTCGTCTTTTTACTGAAAATTTCACCAGTAAACTTGAGAATACAGATGATTCAGTAACCTGGTATCAGTGAAATCAGGACAATGATAGTTATTTAGTAAAAGAATTGTAGGAAGGTAGTGTTCAAGTAATTTCAGCTTATTGCCTTTCAACAACATAAAACGTCAACAAATGATATCTTACGAATAACAGAAAGCTGACGCACAGTTGCCTGACAGTACATCTTGTATCTTGCAGATGGATTTTGCAGAAAACTATACTGCAACTTTTCAGAACGAGATCCAGTCAGTACACTTTAAATAAAAACAAATAACTGTGTACACGATTATGATTTGGCATCGCTTTGAAACAATTTCAAAAATATTTGTCTCAGACTGTCGTGATTATGAAAAACATTCCGTCGCCGCATATACTGCGAAAATTCTCGAGTTTATCAAACTTTCTTTACCCACACTTAATACTGTGCAGATATGGACCGATGGACCAAGTAGTCAGTACAAAAGTAAATTTGTATTTATTCTGTCTATAAAATTAAAGGAAGTTTATGATCTACAGCTACAATGAAATTACTTTGCGACCAATCATGGTAAAGGGTCAAGTGATGCGCTAGGTGGCAATTCGCTTTGCATTGCCCATTGTCAAGTGTTATCCATAACATTTGACGAAAGTTCGTAATACGAGATGTTTTATCATTTGCTGCTGCTGTTAAATCTGCACAGAGCAATATAAATGTTACTGTCAATTCACCTTATGAAATTGAAATCAAATGAAATGAGCTGAATGCTGATCTTTTGTGGAGTGATGTATCGGCTGTTGCAGGTACACAAACTGTTCATTCCGCAACTGAGCTCATTCCAGGTACACAAACTGTTCATTCCATGTACACAAACTGTTATTCCACAACTGAGCAGCGTTAAGTGTAAGGCGTACACAAATGCTGTGAATGTAAAACAGCATGTTGTGATTAAAAGTACAACAGAAACTATCACTCGAGCTTCAACTTCTATAAAACCTAGCATGGATTTTATTTCTACGCCACCGACTGTGGATGCTGGTTCTACGCCACAGACTGTGGAAGCTGTCAGTATTAAAGCTCCGATTTCAAGACAATATTTCCGGTAATTTACTAAGTAGTAATATAGTAAAATAATTATATTTTTTGGTAATTTCATCGCTGTAATTTAAAGTCGCACTAACAAGTACTCATAGATATAAAAAACACAAATTTATATTTGGAAAGAACTTTGTAGATTGTGTGTTCCAAGGCAGATTTTATAATTATTAAATGATTATTTAATATAAAGGTAGTTTTTGATTTGTAATAAACATTGTACATGTAATAGGTATGAATAAGGCTTATGTCGTAAATAAAGATTCTCCATTTTTTTATTTTAGTTTTGTATCTTTAAATTTAAGATTACATTTCTCCTATCCATAACACTATGTTATGGGACGATGGCTGCTACAGAAGTTGCTGCAGTTTTTGAGAAAGACTTTGAACCAATGGATAATCCTATCGTTAGCAGTCGTAGTTTAAAGCGTACAAGACGAATTCCATCAAGATTTAATTAATCGTATATTTACAATAAAATAATTAACTAATTAATTGAATGAATGCTATTTGTATAATTTGATTAAGAATGGTTAACAGTTCTGTAGCCAAGTTATTGACTGGCCTTTTAAAATATTATTGTGAGTAGACAGAAGGTGTTTGTTAGTATGGCTAATAGGTGATTCCGTCACACCATTTATGTGATTCCGTCACACATACTTTAATATAAATTAGTACTATCTACTAAATAATTTATAATTGTTTCTAATTATTTGCAAATGGTATGTATTTTAACACACACACATACACTTGTGAAGTTAAGTAAATTTAAATAGGAGAGCAGAAATGTGTTACTATAATATTATACCACAGAAACCTTGTCCATAAATTCGTGTCCATTAAACCTTGTCCAAAACTTGCCCAGAGGTGGTTATGAACCACGGATCCTCTGTTTCTGAGAAAAGTGCACTACCACTGCGTCACGGCTGCTCAACTAATCTCCTAGAGTACATGGATATAATATCAACAGGTGTGCAATAGTAAATTGTTTGATATCCTTTATACTTATTTCTTGAAAGCTTTTGAAAAAGTTACACATAGGAGATTAGCACTAAAACTTGAAGCATATGACATTACATCTACGTCATTGAAGTAGATTATTACTTTTTTAA